AGGTCTGGCAGGGATTGTCGGTGGGGGGAGGGAATAACCAGTGCTCTCTTCCACCCTCAATACCACGACTGAGGTGAGACCCTTCAAGCAAGGCACTGAACCCCCAACTGTCTGTCTGTGTGTGTGTGTGTGTGTGTGTGTGTGTGTGTGTGTGTGTGTGTGTGTGTGTGTGTGTGTGTGTGTGTGGGTGTGTGTGTGTGTGTGTGTGTGTGTGTGTGTGTGTGTGTGTGTGCACTTGGATGGGTTAAAAGCAAAGCACAAATTCCGAATATGGGTCGCCACACATCACTTCACTTTTTCATGCCACCAGCAACATGATGAGAGACGGCGTTGTGGAGGGTTGAATGCAATGCTGTCAGATTACCTCATGTCTCATTCAATGGTGAGAAAACATTACAGTACAAAACGCATTATATTACAATAATTAGCCTTCCATTCTCACTCGGCCTGCAATAGCGTAATGGCACGTGCTGATGGAGTATCATTTCTACACGATCAGGATACGCGGAGGTATTCAAATATATACACTACCGGTCAAAAGTTTGGGATCAGTAAGACTGTAATGTTTTTTAAAGAAGACTCTTCTGCTCATCAAGGCTGCATTTATTTGATCAAAAATACAGAAAAAACTATAATCTTGCAAAATGTTATTACAATATAAAATAATAGTTTCCATTTTAATATCCTTTAAAATGTAATTTATTTCTGTGATGCAAAGCTGAATTTCCATCAGCCATTACTCCAGTCTTCAGAGTCACATGATCCTTCAGAAATCATTCTAATATGCGGATTTATTATTAGAATTATCAATGTTGGAAACAGTTGTGCTGCCAAATATTTTTGGGGAAACTGTGATACTTTTTTCAGGATTCTTTGATGAATAAAAAGTTAAAAAGAAGTATCAAAATATAAATCTTTTCTAACAATATAAATCTTTGCTATCACTTCTTAACAATTTAACACATCCTTGCTGAATAAAGTTTTAATTTCTTTCAAAAAACAGAAAGAATACAAATTTACTGACCCCAAACTTTTTAACTCTAGTGTATATTGTTAGAAATCTAATTCTATTTTAAATAAATGCTCTTCTTTTTAACTTTTTATTCATGAAAGAATCCAGAAAAAAAGTATCACAGGTTCCACAAAAATATTAAGCAGCACAACAGTTCCCAGCACTGATAATAAATCAGCATATTAGAATGATTTCTGAAGGATCATGTGACTCTGAAGACTGGAGTAATGATGCTGAAAATTCAGCTTTGATCACAGGAATAAATTAGATTTTAATGTATATTAAAATAGAAAAATGTTATTTTACATCATAATAATATTTCACAATATTACATTTATTCCTGTATTTCTGATCAAATAAATGCAGCTTTGATGAGCAGAAGAAACTCCTGTAAAAACATTTAAAATCGTTCTGATCCCAAACTTTTGACCGGTGGTGTATGTTTACAGGTAGGATAACCTCGGACCAAGGGACATGATTAGATGAACATTTTATGGTCCTATGCCGTCCACAGACAATATAAATACACATAAATACATGTCGACCACTTAACTTAGTGACTGCTATTGGGCTGTGAAGAGACTTTAAACAAGCATTACAAAAAATGTTTTTGAACCAAATCACCTACCCTGCCTTTAATAATAAGCGGTTTTGTGGAGCAACATTTTGTACCAGTGAGATTTCAGCAAATCTGTGTTATAAAAAAAACACTACTGATACGAAATACGTCAGATGCACAGATTGTGTCTCGTGGCTGGTTAGGACAAAACGTGATGAACACGTCAGATATGTGATTTAGCACTTGATGTCCTACCTGGTTAGAAAAGAGTGTAACAAGTTAACAGAAGCATTTAAAAAACACACTGGTAAACTTACCGAAGGCGCCGACCGCCAGAACCCCGATGATGAGAACCCAGATGAGAACCGGCGCTGTGAAACGCAGCAGCAGCAGGAAGAGAAAGCTAACCACCATCGCAATCACCAGACCACTGACACACACACAGAGAGAAATCGAATTAAATATGACACAGACAAGATCACAGAACTTCATAATCAAGAATATAAAATCTGTCAAAATGTGCACACTATTTCAAATATTTTAATATAGCTTAAACTGCAACAGTAATGATAGTCTGATAATAGTTCATCAAAGAATGAAATAAAAAACAAAAAATTTAATAAGAAACTACAAATTGTTTAGTTCTGAATAAATGATATATTATATAAATTTAAATAATATTATATCATATATTTATAAATACATTTATATTATATTATTATATTTATAAAAGTATATATATATATATATTAAATGTTACTGTTATTTTACTATCAACAATCATATGTATTTTACCATTTAAAATATGATATATATATATATATATATATATTTCAAATAAATTTTATAACATTTTATATATACACACACACACATTAATACTTTTAATTATATATATATATATATATATATATATATAATACAAAATGTTATTAAATAATATTTAAGTCGAACTACTTTATAATGATTTATAAACTGGAATGTTAGATGTTAGATGTTTGACTTGTGTTAAAAATCTATAAAAATAGAAAATATTATTTAACATATAAAATATTATTAAATGTAATATTTTAAATAAATTTTATAAAATGTAATACAAAAGAGCTGGACTCACGCTACGATCCATTGCCACGACTCAGTCGACTACTAGTGTGTAAATCAGGATTTTTAGTGCATAACAAGTATTGATATTTTAAGTTTATTAGTGTGTGTGTGTGTGTGTGTGTGTGTGTGTGTGTGTATTTACCCTGTGGCATTCCTGATCGCTGCCAAAGTCTGATTTGCATCCAATCCAGGAAGAGTGAAGTTTGTGGGAATGTTACTGGGATTATACGCATTTCCTCCCAAACTGGGCAAACACCGGCCCAGCACTAGACAGACAGACAGATGATTGAGGACATTATAAAGATGAGTAAATTACATGGTGTTCAGTGACTCTATTCTTCATCTTCTGTCACTCACCAGAGGTTGTTGGCATGTAGAAAAAAGGACACAACTCTTTATTTACAATGTCCATAGCCGACTGAGAGAGAGAGAGAAATACAGAGACACCAAAAGGTGTAAGAAAACAACCACATTTGATCATTTTTCCTTATTAGATGACATACTTCCTCATTTACACAAACACACTCACATATCGAGTGCCTTGCAGCTGGAAGGATGGGACGCAGTACTCCTGTTTGAAATAATTGGCTGGGTTTGCGCTTGGTGAGTGGGCGAGAGGAGACAAAATCCAGAACTCTGACGGACACGACTTCACACACACCTACAACAAACAAACACAAACATCACGATTCATGAAATATTGGGGGGGTTTTCACAGCTCTGGATGCTTAAAAGAGTTTTCACTTCACTCAAGCACCAACTTTGTCTCAGATGTTTCTCCTAAAATTCCTTAGGAAAAATAAACAGACACAAAACAGTCAATATCTGTCATATGATAAGAATTTAGAGCTATAAAATGAATGTTGAAAAATTACTATTTTAAGTACATCACGTTACTAAATATAACTGAGAAGTGAAAAACTAAAATTGTGTGTGTGTGTATGTGTGTGTGTATGTGTATGTGTGTATGTGTGTGTGTGTATGTATGTATATATGTATATATAAAATATATACATTCAGATACATTTTTATTTTATATGTTGAAGTAGTTTTGTGTGTGTGTGTGTGTGTATGTGTGTGTGTATGTGTATGTGTGTATGTGTGTGTGTGTATGTATGTATATATGTATATATAAAATATATACATTCAGATACATTTTTATTTTATATGTTGAAGTAGTTTTGTGTGTGTGTGTGTGTGTATGTGTGTGTGTATGTGTATGTGTGTATGTGTGTGTGTGTATGTATGTATATATGTATATATAAAATATATACATTCAGATACATTTTTATTTTATATGTTGAAGTAGTTTTGTGTGTGTGTGTGTGTGTGTAAATATATCTTAATCACATTTCACATGTTTAATTCTTATTTCATATGCAGATATGTTACCCAATCATAGCATTTGGTGTTTACATTGAAGTCTTAAAGGAGACATGCCCCTATTAAATGGAACGTTCAAACCAAAGGGTCAAAAAGAACTTAGAAAACAGCCATTTGTTTCTAAATTATGACTGTTTTTGGTATGAAAATCTTATCAATATTATAAGTGGAGCTCAGGGAAAATGCTAAAAGAATTAAAATAAAGATCTGGTACCTGTGTGGTGGGACACTGGAGACCCTGCAGAGCTGCAGCCATGACGTTTGTCGCTGTGGCACATTTGATGATGTCGAAGTACATGACGTTGGGTTTGTCCCTGAGAGACAGACGGACATGAGCATCAAAAGACTGAAACACACTGATGTCTGACTTCTCTAAAACGACTGACGACTGGCGAATCTCACTTGTTCTGTCCGATTCCACAGAACATTCCCGTGGAGTTCCTGGGATACAGCACATGTCGAGGATCTCCATACAGCCAGGCTACAGAAACAAACCATTTCACATGAAATACACACATCAACTATGTTAATTAGCAGAAGAAACATTTATTCTGCACAATTAAATGAGAAGAGAACATGATTAATTTGTTTCATAATCTGAGCTGAATAATGTAGAATTGCTTTACAGTTGAATATAATATAATATAATATAATATAATTGTGCATAAGTCTTTGAATATATTTGATCTATTCTGAAGAATCGACTCCCTTTCAATAATATAATAATATAATATTTGTGCATCTGTCTTTTGTTTATATTTTATCTAGTGCAAAATTCAGAACTGAATTTTGTCTCCCTTTCAATTCATGGAATTTGAATTGAATTGGCCACTGCAGGAAGTTAAATTGCAATTCTATGAAAACAAACACAGGTAATGCATTCTGGGAAATTAAGCAGTCTTCCATCTTGGTCCACAAAAGGTCACTTCCATTAATTCAAATTCAAATGCAGTTCCGCATTCTGTTTGCAACTGTAAACTCAGTGCTTTCAATTTAATTTAAAAATTCTAATTAAAATCCTACATTCCAAATGGAATTCTTATGGTTTTGATAGTTGAGTTGAGAAATGAAATGTGTCTGTGTGTTTTCTACTTTCAGCAGAAACAATGACATTGAGTTACCCATAACCCCTTGCCCTCTCCAGTATTTACATATTGCACATTATGGGAGGCAGACCGAGTTAAATTTCCATATTGCTTTCAGGTCAAAGTAAACACAGCGCCAATACACACAGAGTTCACAGTATGTGTGTGCCTGTGTGCTGAACAGCGATGAGAGATAGACAGAGACAGGAAGACACAATAACAGATGATCAGACAGATAGACACAGAAATGGAGAAATGAACTTACCCAGAATTCCTACCACAATGTAACCGGCGATGACCAGCATGAACAGAAAGCAGCATATGATGTCTGTACAGCTCCTACAGACACACAAGACACAAGCACACACCTCACAAAACCACTCCAGATCATAATTCACCACAAATTCAAAAGAAAGACAAAATTGTGCAATTTTTTTTAGAACCGTTAAAGGAATAGTTCACCCAAAAAAAAGAAAAAATTAGCTGAAAATGTACTCACCCTCCCCTAGTAAAAAAGTTATATATTTAATTACTTAATTAATTTAATACAATCAAATATACTTCAGTACGTCTTTAGTTGGACTTCAGCACTACTTCCACACAATTGCAGTGCATTAAGTACAAAATTAGTTGTTCCAATTTAGCAGACTTTAAGTATACCAGTTTAGTACTATTGCAGAGTATTTTTAGTAAGTACATAAATATGAGAATGTATTTGTAGTACACTTAGCATGAAATAAATGTATTTCAAATACATTTTAGTATATTTATTTTTCACCAAGGTCAGGCCATGGAAGATGTTGATAAGTTTGTTTATTCATCAGTATAGATTTGGAGAAATGTAGCATTACAACACTTGCTCAAATGTCTCATGGATTCTCTGCAGTGAATGGGTGCCGTCTGAATGAGTCCAAACAGCTGAGAAAAACATCATTTGAAAAACATCCATTGCTAAATAAGTGTTGCAATGCTAAATTTCTCCAAATCTGTTCTGATGAAGACGAAAAAATAATTTTTCTATTTCTAAAAATTCTATTTTTCTATTTCAATTTTCATTTTTGGGTGAACTATTCCTTTAAGATGTTTTTGCATTATGACAATTAAACATTAAATTAAATTTCAATACAATTGTTTTTACATCATAATATTATGTTGTACTACCTAATTTACAGGCTACTGAAAAAAATGTAAATGTAAAACATTTTAATGAGAATTATTATAAATATAGAATAATTACAAAACTCAGAGATAAAACATACTGTTATGAAACTAGCATCACAATGCAAAAAAAATAGGCCTTTTCTTCAAATCAAAATATAATTAGTTTTTTTTCTTTTGATTTTGTGGACATACATTCATGAGATTGACACATACGCACCTGTTGTGAATGGGGCCGGTGAATGTGGGGTCAAACTGAGTTGGTTCACCTGAAAAACAAGCAGAGTTTAGATCGGTGGTCAGTGTGTGTCAATAATGAGTGTTTATTGGTGGTGTTACACATCGTAGATTCTCAGTCAGACACTCATAATGGATCTCTGACCTGCCATATTTGTATCCACATCATTTTTTTAGGGTTTGATTGTTTGCTTTGATAAACCAGTTTAGCAGGAACTACAAATCAAAAGAAAACCATTCATGAAAGTGAAGTATTTGGCTTCCTTCATAAAACATTTAGTTCCCACTGAATGGCAGTAATGCAGGTGCAGAAACACCAGTGTTATTTCACTATCATTGAGATATTATCGTTTTTATCAATAGTTTGACGTTCTTTTGTGTGTTATATTTTTCATCGTCATTTTAGTTTTAGTTAAAGTTTTCGAATTTTGTTCTGTGTTTTTGTAATTTTGTTTTGTTTTAATATAGTTTTTATTAATTTGTTTCTATATTTCAGTACATTTAGTACAGAAATCATTTGTCATACTTAAATCATTTCAAAAGTGAAGAGCAGGTCTCACTAAGTACGAGTCGAATAAAATAGACTGTTTAAGTTCAAATGTAAGTGACTGTATAAGGCACAGTGTATATTTTATGTTCTCCAACTAGTCATTATTTATGTTGACTTTTTCGCCATTTTTAATCATCTTTAGCTTCTTTGCTTTCATTTTAAATGGTCCTGCGGTGTGACAATTTGTACAATTATAAAATACTGCTTGCAGACTACATATTTAGTAATTTTAAAAATTAATTTTATGATGCAATTTCAATTTTTCCTTTCTCTTTGGAGTGTTACAAGCTCTTGGTGCATAAAGAAGATCTGTAAAGTTGCAAAGACTAAAGTCTCAAATCCAAAGAGATATTCTTTATAAAAGTTAAGAGTCAACCACGCCTACCTAAAACGTCTCGTTCTAACACGCCCCCACATGTCTACCTCACTATGTGGGAAGATTTGCATAACGCCTCCCAAATGTTCACGCAAAGAAAGAAGGCATAACTTTTATTCTCGTTGTAGTATTGTTGTTGCTGCCGCCATGTTGTGAAAGCGCTGTGTGTTTCGTTGTGAAAGCGAGACTACTTTGTTTGGTCTTCAAAAGAGGACACGACTAGAAATCAGTGGTTAAGTTGTATTTACAACACTGTTCCAGAACAGTTCAACCCAAATATTCAGATGTGTGCAGCGCAATTTATGTAGGAGGAGGACTGTTTCCTGTGAGAGTAGCCTACAATGCCACTGTCTGTTTCTATAAAGTGGGGCAATTCCAACTTTGCAAGGACAGTCTTATAATCCGTAATTATGTCCCCACTGGATGCAACAAATGCCTCGTTTGTAATGGGTTTTAATGTTTTTGTCTCGTCGCTCCGAGACACGGCATCAAAGGATGGTAAGGGGCTTAACATTTCTGTCACACGCTTGAGGTATTCGGCCAATCACAACGCACTGGATAGCTGGCCAATCACAGCACACCTCGCTTTTCAAAACGATGAGCTTTGTAAAAATCGAGGCGTTTCAGAAAGGCGGGGTATAGAGGAGAAACAATAATGTACAGTATGTGGAAAATAATGTGTTTTTTTCCCACACATTGCATTACACCAAATAGACAAAATAATAGTCTTTTTTAGAAACGTCATATGACCCCTTTAATGATTATTTCTAACAAGTATTTTAGATGGAGTTTGTGATGTCATGTGTGACTGCCTGTTAGTTGTCTGTGAGGGTTTGTTGCCTGGCAGCTGTAGTGTTTCATGTTACTTTAATGCCACACATGGGTATTGAACCGTCAAATACAAACACTGAAGCTTTTCTACCCTTTAAACAGGAGAGGAAAAAAGAGACAGATGGAATAAAAAAGGGGATGATTTGAATATCATTTGAATTCAAAGATGGAGCCAAACTGCAGACACACACTCAGTCACAAACTAATCATGAGTGTTTTTGTACACTTCCTCTCATGAAACCTGCTGATCAGGACGGGCGCTTCGTGTGACCGGATCTTCAGGATGTTCCTGAATGTGATCATTTACTGAGCATGACTCTAAACATGATGCACATGAGCGTTTGTGTTCATGTCCACATGTACACCTATGATCATTTACTAGAAATGCTTTTTTTAATGCATTTCAATTTAATTCTTAAATTTAACTCAACTCAAGTTTCTGGTTAAAAGTTTTGATTTTGACAATTTTTATCTTGTGAAAGCAACACATATATGACAAAGAAAGTCAAAATATTAATCCACTATTTTGTAGGGGGGGTCAAAATGACAATTTTCACCTGAGTAAAATCTGTTGAGTTTAGCAATCTGGTAACAATTTACAATAAGGTTCCATTAGTTAATGTTAGTTAATGTATTAACTAACATGCAATGAACAATACATTTATTGCAGTATTTATTCATCTTTGTTAATGTTAGTTAGTTCATGTTAATTCACAGTGCATTAACTAATGTTAACAAGCACAACTTTTGATTTTAATAATGCATTAGTAAATGTTGAAATTAACAAGAAATAAGATTAATAAATGCTATAGAAGTATTGTTCATTCTTAGTTCATGTTAACTAATGTTAACTAACGAACCTTATTGTAAAGTGTTACCAGCAATTTCTGTTGCATTATGTGCCAACGGTGGCCGTTCAAAAATGACAAAAAGCACTCTTCACACTTTTTTTGTCCTGTAACTCAAGAAGTATTAAAGATGTCTCTATGTCCTTTTAGATTTTTGGTACCTTCGTTTTCAAGGCCCTTTATGTTTCATGGCTCCATGTGCAAATTGTTGGTTGAAAACCAAATGTGGCTCACTTTGCATGCAGTTGATGTTTTTATTTTAAAGATGAATGTCTGAAGAACAAATAATGTACAAACTAGAATTATATCTTAATTCCCTCTATCAAAACAAATGCATAGAACAGGGGTCACCAAACTCGGTCCTGGAGGGCCGGTGTCCTGCAGAGTTTAGCTCCAACTTGCCTCAACACACCAGCCTTCCAGTTTGGTGACCCCTAGCATAGAACATAGTTCTCTGAGTGCTAAAAAACTTTCTTTTTTTCAAGGTTTGTGTTCCTGTAACTCAAGAAGTGTTAAAGATATCTCAATATGATTTTAGAATCTGGTTCTTAAGAAACCTTTCTTTTGACATCTTCATTTTTAAGGCCTTATATGGTTCATTCCTAGCGATATGGGGATCTCAATGCAGCGCCATGTCCACCCAGGTGAAAAGGACGTAGTATTAAATGTATTAAAAATATACTTGAAATTCAAGTAGTATGTTTATAATACATTTGTATTCCCAACATGCTTATTTGAAGTGCAATGAAAAAATATATTGAATTGCATTTTAATATTTTTCTAAAAAGTATACTAGAAGTACTTTTGTATTAAATATATGCTTAGTTATACTTTTAAGGAATATGCTAAACAGAAGCATACTTTTAATGTATTTATAAAAAGTATACTAGAAATACTTTGGTAATAAATATATGCTTAGTTACACTTTTAAGGAATATGCTAAACACAAGCACACTATTAGTATATTTCTAAAAAGTATAGTAGAAATACTATGTTAATAAATATATTTTTAGTTACACTTTTAAGGAATATGCTAAACACAAGCACACTATTAGTATATTTCTAAAAAGTATAGTAGAAATACTATGTTAATAAATATATTTTTAGTTACACTTTTAAGGGATATACTAAACACAAGCATACTTATAGTGACTTTTTAGTGTATTTATAGAAAACATACTTATGTTACCCTTACTTAAAGTATATTTTATGTCTATTTTGTGTAAGAACATAACAAAATGACTACACTTTTAGTGGGTTTTTAATGTACTTTATATTGCAGTAGGCCTACACATGGTTATATTTTAAATATTTATGTATTTATAATTTTTATATTTGGAATATTTTGAAAAACATTTTTAACATTTACAATGCGCAAACATTTGTCAACTATTATTAAGCATTGCGATATTTAAAATATGTTGTTTAATATGTTGTTCAGTTTTACTTAAAAGGTTATGCTACTTTGGTTGATCAGGCTGTTGTTTATAAGGTGTTTATAAATTTGTTCAAGCTTGACGCCTTTATTTTCTAATATATATTTCTGAAATTCCCACAAGGATTTCAACATTTTGTCAACTATTATTAAGCATTGCGATATTTAAAATATGTTGTTTAATATGTTGTTCAGTTTTACTTAAAAGGTTATGCTACTTTGGTTGATTAGGCTGTTGTTCATAAGGTGTTTATAAATTTGTTCAAGCTTGACGCCTTTATATTCTAATATATATTTCTGAAATTCCCACAAGGATTTCAACATCATATATGAAAAAAAAACAACAAACAAAACCTTGCGTTTACTTGTGTTTAAATTCAAACAACACACTGACTAAACCTGATTGGTTCCAGAGCCATTGAACGGCTCTGATTGGTTCATATGATAATGAGCTTCATATATAAAATATGATGTGCTTGCAAATGTCTCTTGAATGTGAATATATATTTCTGAAATTCCCACAAGGATTTCAACATCATATATGAAAAAAAAAACAACAAACAAAAACTTGCGTTTACATGTGTTTAAATTCAAACCACACACTGACTAAACCTGATTGGTTCCAGAGCCATTGAACGGCTCTGATTGGTTCATATGATAATGAGCTTCATATATAAAATATGATGTGCTTGCAAATGTCTCTTGAATGTGAATATAAGTGTAAATTTAAACAGTATTATATAGAGCGGTCGCCGATCGTGTCTCTTTAGGGCACTTGGAGGAAGCCACGCAATTCATATGGATTACTTTGGCTATGTTTTTTTTTTGCGATTTCAACTTTTTGAAACGTGAACATCTTTGGTGAATCTTCTTTCATCGGAGGGACATAAATCTCTCAGATTTTTATTAAAATATCTCCGCTTTTCTTTTGAAGATGAACGAAAGTCTTAGATGGTTTGGAGCATCTTAAGGGTGAGTGATGACAGAATTCA